GAAACTAGGTAATTTTATTCATTTTCTTTCATGTAACTATTTTTCTTTTTTTTTTCTTTTTTTCCATCTCTCTTCTGTCACATCAGTAATAAGAGTTACAAAATATCATAATATCCGTTGAACAAAAAAACGTCTACTCTTACTCTATTCACAAATTTTAGTCTAGTAGCTGAATAATAATTCTGAATGAAGGGGAGCTCAAAATTATGAAATCATCCGAACGACCATCACGAGTTTCCTAGCTAACCTCACCAATTTCCATTGCACGATGGAAAAAAAAATAATACGCCTAGAAACTGCTAAAACTTCCCTTAGTCTTCTTTCTCAATTTCCTCCACCGTGATGCACGAAGGATGATGAACCACCAAAAAAAAACAAGTTTGTGAAGGTCATACTTGATCTGCCGTCTGCGTGATTCTCTTTTTGCAAAATAATTTTGAACAAATTCTTGAGAGAACAACTCTCTCAACCAAGTGGATCCTACTTGTCAGCTGGCTTAGGTTCTGTTCGAACATAGGTGAGACTACGAGCACCAGATGAGGTTATAGAATTACCAGAGAGAGAAGCACCATTGTCAGCAGATGTGGCCTGACTATCCCGCTTCCACTGCATGCTCCTGGCGCCAAGTTTGATGGGGGGACGAGGCCTAAATCCACCGGGAATGCCCCTCGAGAAAGGAGCTCTGGAAAATCTAGGAGAAGGATATGGCGAGCCACGCACAGCACGGGGCCATGTAACAATTGAAGCACCTTCTAACTGTGAAGCATTTTTCCTTATGACCTGCAATGACAAAATCAATCAAACATGGAGCTTTGTTCGCAGACTACATTTTGCAGAATACATCTAAATGAACCGTTAATTTTAAATTAATCTGACACTGTCCAATACTTCACTAAAACATATCATGGTAGTTGTGGGATAGGTTTGCCGTCACAGTAGAAAACGTTGCAGTTAAAATAGCTATTTATAGTACTATGCAATTTGAGCGACCAGATGTACAGACAATATGCATGGGATTAGCCACTTCAATGGGATCTTTTCATTCGGGTCAGAGAAGCACGAACAGTTCAAAGCCAAATGCAGCGCAGATTAAATGAGAAACCAAACTTTCTTTCTTTCTTTTTTTTTTCCGAGAACCCAAACTTTCATCAAAATAAATGAAAGAACAAAAATGGGCTAAACAAAATAAGGAAGCCAAAAACTGAAAGGAGCCTGTACATCTTTTCTGTTTGCTAGTCTACTCCCATTTCCATTTCTGTATTCTCGGAAAGTTCATTCAACTTTAGTTCTCTGCTTAGTTAAACGTGGAAATGCCAGTAGAAATTCACAGGTTATGTGAAAAGTAACCACAAACTTGAACAACAATCCAGTTAGAGATCAAAAAGAAAAATAGAACAAAGACAGACCCATAACAGTATGATTGTGTGATTGTAAACACGCTGGCACGGCTCGCCAACCAAAAAGTTTGAACTCATTTAAGATACTGCTAACTAAAGAACTTGAAGAACAAAAAACAAAAGAAGATTATGGTTGTAAACATTTTTTTCCTTGGGTACGAGAAAGAAATACAACGATTAATACCACAGAGCAAACATAGAAGAAAGACAGGTACCTTCAGAATCCTAGACATAAACGAGGTCCCATCCAGAGACAACGCATTCTCTGCAGCATCTTTTCTCATGAACTCCACATAAGCTGACCTGATCCAAAAGCATCACTTAACTAATTATAAAGTGACTTAGGAAAATTTGTCGTCTGCAGTAGAGGTAACAAAAATAGATAGCTGAGGTACAATGAACAACTGTAATGCCTTACCCTTTGGGTTGCCCGGTAGTTGCATCAGTTACTATGATAACTTTTACAATTTCTCCAAACTTGTTAAAATGCCTAGAAAGGCTATCCTTTGTAGCACCGAAGTGAACCTGTACATAAGAATTAACACAAGGTGAACAGTCAAAACAGTCACCATTTCTTCATAAAAGCAACAAACTGTAACTTATTACATTGCTAACAAAAATGGTTCGAGCATCAGCATCCTCTAAAGGACGAGTGGCAGCAAATTGTCCTGCATAAGGAAACATAAGAATATGACTTAGAATTAAAAGGCCACTGGATGACCAGAGAACAAATATAGTAAGAGCCAGAATGATAAAGGATTGTCCATAAACAGATGCGGAAAAAAAAATGGAATGAGAAACCTAACAAACAGAAAGAAAAAGAAATAAAGAACAAAGTCGTACAAACTAATCATCACTTAAAAATTAGAGCCAGAGACCAGAAAACAGAGCCCACCATTAGCAGATGAAGGAGGTTTCTGGAACTCTTTTTGAGGGTTTGCTGCAGGATTTTTCTGTTGGTTAACAATAGTGACTGCCTTGCCATTTTCTGTTACTTGCACAGCAGATCTGGAACCTTGTAACTCACTCTCCTGCAAAAACTTTTGACTACCAAATTCAGCAATCTGTCCTGGGTCCTGATAGTGAGGTGGTTTCCAAGTATTAACATTCACAGAGATATTTACAATGTCACGAGAGGAATTTGCAACTAAGGAAGGTTGATCCTTCTGTTTATATTGTGTAATGCGTGTAACTTCATCAGCATTCTCAACAACCCTGAATGGCACACTCCGCAAATTGCCTACCTTTCTTACTCCCGATTCAGCCGTCCAAGAATCGTCAAATCCTCTATGACCCTGAACATTAACATCGTCATTTTCAGATGTAGAATCTGATGCTAATCCAGTGTCAGGTTCAAACATGGTCTCATTGGAAGTATATTTCCCACTATAATTGCTCCTCTCAAGATAGGTGCCTGAGTATGGTTGATCCTGTGTATGAGTCACATCCCCATACTTAGGGTCCTCTACAGCAGTTACTCTGTATTCTGCAAGTTGGCCACTGGGCTCTGTTAAATCCATATCATGAGATTGACGACCAAGTCGGTCAAACACACTGGAGGATTTAACTCTTATCGCATCTTCAGCTGCCTCTGTCACAGCCTTAATAACAGTTGCCATAGGATTTGGCACTTTCGCGACAGACTGAAGCCGCCTGGGACGATTAGTTGTGTCAGTATTGGATGTAGAAACTACTGACCGAAGACGCTTCGAAAAGGGCTCCTTGGCTACATTAGATGGCCTTGTAGTGGCCACAGCATCTCGCATTGCAAACTGGAGCAGCCGACGAGGGGCAGCAATGCTTACCTGAAAGGCGGCCTCCCTCTGTAAAACAAGAAACATGAGAATTTGTTTGACATTAGAATTATGCGTCAATAAATCACCCAATATCCTGGACTATGTTAGCTACTAAAAATATCAAAACTCGGATAGGTTTAATAGAGCATTCAATTATTGTACTAAAAAGTGACGGAAACAAATCAAGCATACTCCATGGTCACAAAATTTATTCTAGAGAGTACAGTGGCCTAATTCATGTTTCAATTTTATACTAATAAAATTAAACTGCAGTTATCAC